GAAATAGCTATGTTAAAGTCAGAGCATATACATTCACCGAGGCACCTAGTACAAATCAAACAGGAGAATTTAGCATTGAAATAACTAGGCGAATTTAGCATTGAAATAACTGAGTAATTAGCTTGTGACTGGTCACAGAAATGGCTATGTTGAATTCAAGCCCTACACATCTGAGCTATTCACAGTAACTGGGTATACAATACAATATATAATGAATACTACATAGTGAACCAATAAAAAAAGAAAATATAAATTACCTCAATGTTATCAATAAACTCTATATTCTCCAATCAGCTAAGCTACCAACAATAAGTCGTTATATATCACAATGCTATATGGCGAAAAATGGGTGGATTCTTACCCTCAACTCAATCAGCTACTTCAATGCTAAATTCTTCTGTTGATATGTAAACTCCTTTGTCAAGGCGCTCTGCCCCTCCCACCCAGCTTAAAATACGCTGCCAAGCTTAGCAGTGTTCATTGGAGCGCTGTCTTTCCGACAGTTGTTTCTTCACCTGAGGAAGGTTACTTGTGTTGTGGCTGAAACGTCGTGATAATTTTATTTATTACGTAAAATTTTTATTATTTTATTATTTCCCTTCTACGTAACTTTACCGAAAGAACCAAGAAGATGAATCCATGCAGTCACGAAAGATTTAAATCAAAATTTACAATAAACATGTTTAGTTTAGCAACGCATTCACCGAGGGCAACTATGGTAACTCGGTGGGCAATAGGATATGGCCACTGAGCGCTTGCTAAACAATGATGGGTCTATATACTCTACATTCAACCTGCTGTAATGGTTCAGAGGCCCATCACACCATCACTCCGCAACATCACTCCACACCATCACTCCGCAACATCACTACACACAAACACTTCACACCATCACTCCACAACATCACTCCGCAACACCACTACGCACCATCACTCCGCAACATCACTCCACAACATCACTCCGCAACATCACTACGCACCATCACTCCGCAACATCACTCCACACCATCACTCCGCAACATCACTCCACACCATCACTCCGCACCATCACTTTGCACCATCACTACACACAAACACTTCACACCATCACTCCACAACATCACTCCGCAACATCACTACGCACCATCACTCCGCAACATCACTCCGCACCATCACTCCGCACCATCACTACACAACATCACTCCGCACCATCAATCCGCACCATCAATCCGCAACATCACTCCACCCCATCACTCGACAACATCACTCTACACCATCACTACACAACATCGCATCACACCATCACTCCGCACCATCACTCCACACCATCACTCCTACCCATCACTCCACCCCATCACTCGACAACATCACTCGACAACATCTCATCATAAGCATTGAGGCATTCCTGCTCATCTCCCGTTCACAGCCTTGCAGAGCCAGTGGTGCAAATTCCACATTCCTATGACAGGATGGAGGGAGACCATCCATAGAACAACCGCTGTTGATCTCCCCCACACCAACTGGTACTCATTTATCGACCCTGGAGAAAGGAATGATGATAATGGGCTGAGTGGACCCCCCACCCCAGCATACACACCATGCGTCGTCGCACCTCGAGATAATCACAGAAACAGTGCAAGTCGGTAGGATGGATGAACAGGCCGGGTATTCTTAGTGTTCGTATTATTCTGCTCTGTGGGACTGCAAGGTTATAGCTTTAAGGGCCAATTAACCCCGTGGTGCGAGGGCATCTCTCAAACGCTTTGGGGATGAGGGGGGAGCATCATTGACCTTGAGGGGCCGTCATTAACACATATTGTGAGGTTCTTTTTGTTATTGCTCTCTTCCTGCTCGACAATGAACGTCCCCGTGTTGGCGGGAGGATCATAGCAGCTGCCCGATGGGGCTGAGCGCGGCTGTGCGTCCTATGGGCGCCACCACCACCACCATCATCATCATCGTCAGGAGCGATGCTCTCTCCCTCCGTCCCTCCTCGCCGAGCGCAGCAGAATCTCCACCGCTCACGCGTGCACACCCAGAAACTGGCGACATCCTGATTGCTGATCGTGACCTCAAGGAATGCCACGCGCAATGTAGACACGAGTGCAGATGGCTCTTCTATCGCTGCTACGACTGCTGCTGTTGCTGCCACGGTGACACCGACCGGTGTGAGGGACACGCCGCTCCGCCACCCCGCGTGGAGGGGAGCCGCACGGAGCGCGCCCAGCCACACTCGCCGGGTACACAGGAGAGCGTGGGTTCGATCCTGACCCTGGCGCCTGCTGTATATTTGGAGTTTGCGTGTCTCTTTCTCTCTCCTCCGTGGTCGTGTGTATTTTTCTCCGGGTCCTCCGGTTTTTCCCTCCACATTTATAATCAACGTCACGCGTTTAGAGTATTTGGCTGCTATACATTTCCACACGATAATCCACTTCGTTGAGATATCATTTGTTGCCCGATCGCTTCATAAAAAGAGCTGTATAGCTCAGTGGGAGTCGACGCGGCTCCTCATAGAAACAGGTACCACGAACATCCTCATAAAATTAGAAATGTAATGCACAATTTTATTCGAAGGTGTCACGCGCCTCCTTGTCACTCCTCTATCGCTGCTACTACCGTGGTCACTTTCCCGTAAACTTCGCTCGTGGATTCCTCCACCCATGGTGAGGACCAGACGCCCGCTGCGTCATCTCATCCACGCTCTATTCAACCACCACCGTCTTGCCGGTCACTACAAAGACTCACTCATACTCTCATCCACTCACAAAGACAAAGTATAGCTTTTCGATTTAAAGCTTTCGTGACTGCAATGATTCATCTTCTTTGGTTCTTTCGGTAAAGTCACGTAGAATGAGAATAAAATAATAAATTGATTAAATAAAATAACACAATAATATTCTCACGACGTTTCGGCCACAACACAAGCGGCCTTCATCAGGTGAAGGGCGAGACTGTCTGGTAGGACAGCGCTGGAGTGAAAGAGCCACGTTCAGATCACGGCCTTTAAGCTGTGTGAGAGGAACAAAGCGCCCTGAAATTTCACCTGATGAAGGCCGCTTGTGTTGTGGCCGAAACGTCGTGAGAATACTATTGTGTTATTTTATTTTATCAATTTATTATTTTATTCTCATTCTACGTGACTTTACCGAAAGAACCAAAGAAGACAAAGTATAGCATTGGCAGACTGCAGAAGCATGTGCCGTTGACGAGAACCTATAGAGGCCGGTACGGCACATGAGGGGGTGGGTGGCCAGCAACACGCCCGGACGCCTTTGTCTCCCGAGTGGTGATGTTTATACACCGCACGAGGCACTCATTGATCTAGGGGAGGCCCAGGATCGGTTCAGATAATTGTCACTGGTGTTGGCCGTGAGCGGGACTCGAATGTGTGATCCCCCCCTTCCCACATTGTGCAAGAGAGCAGAAGCGTGGTCACCACATCTACGCCTCTATATAAGGAACGAAACAGTAAGACTTCTCCACAAAACTGACTGTAGCCTGATTAAGCTAGTTGTAATTACTGGCGAAACGTCGTACTCAGATTATAAATGTTGTGGCTTGGCTCTCCAACACACCAGTGTGCTGTACTAGTGACGAATTGGCACGTTCTGTTTACGTGACAACCCTTACTAGTTGGCTGTGTCGGGTGGTGGCGGGATTTAACGACACATTTATATATTTACGCGATCTAACCCAAAACCTCTATCACGTTTGATTAGCGCATCGTGTAGAGCTCGTCGAGAGGAATAGATTGCCGTATCGTTCGCCTTCAACAGACATACAATAACGTCGCAACGCAGTTTATGCGAAAGCCGAGGGCTTATGGGACCCTGGGGTCCCGCTATAAGGTTAAATTCAAGCAACGCGTTAGCAACTCTTAGCTATTACATCTACGATACTGCTGTTTGTTGTTGACCGTTTGACATTTTCGGCCTTTGCGCCTGTGCTCGTCAACTGTGTTGAAATCCCGTAAATATAAATACGTCGTTAACTCACCACCACCTATTCTTAGTTTTTTCGGTAAAGTCACGTTGAAGAGAAACAACAAAATAACAAAATATATATAAAACAATAAAAAATTCTCACGACGTTTCGACCATAACTCAAACGGTCATCATCAGGTGTGTCGGTTTGCATAAATTTATTTTGAAAACGGCATATTTATTTATATATATATAAAAAATAACGTTTGCGTCACGCGCAACGTTATTTTTATATATATATAAATAAATATGCCGTTTTCAAAATAAATTTATGCAAACCGACACACCTGATGATGACCGTTTGAGTTATGGTCGAAACGTCGTGAGAATTTTTTATTGTTTTATATATATTTTGTTATTTTGTTGTTTCTCTTCAACGTGACTTTACCGAAAAAACTAAGAATATGAATTACTGCAGTCACGAAAGCTTTAAATCAAAATTCACCACCACCTGTCACAGCCAATCAGTGAGGTTTGTCACGTAAACAAAACGTGACAATTAGCTGCTAGTTCAGCAGAGCGGTGTGTTTGTGGGTTTACTCTCCAACACACCGATGATGCTGAAGTAGTCACTAATTGGCACGTTTTGTTTACGTGGCAGACCTCACTGATTGGCTGTCGGGTGGTGGTGGTGGGTTAACGACACGTTTATATTTACGTGATCTAACAAACCATACTTTTATTATGGACAGTATTGGTCACGAAAGCCCTCCTTCTACTACTGCTGCTCTGTGTTAAACCAAATAACACTGCTAAGTGACGGGGTCAGAGGTTAAGACCGCGAGCCGCCACTCTGTGCAGTAGCGAGAGGCTGCACATCACGGAGAGCAAGCCACAGGTGGTGCGGTTTCACGTCGTCCGTCATCATCGTGATCATCCACCGTGCTCTATCCACTACTGGACGACAGCTTCCCCAAGTCGTCCCTATTGAGGAGTGAGTTCGAGCCGTCCCCTCGCCGTCGTGGAGTGTGCGGGTGAGCAATATGCAGGCGAAGGGTGAGGCCGGGTGAGGTGGCCGTGCCCCCTCCTCCTCCTCACCTGTCGGCGGAGAGCGCGGTGAGCGTGAACACGGACACCCCGACGCTCGTGAGCTGGATATAGGGGATCAGCTTGCAGCCGAATTCTCCGAAGAGCCACTGCGGCGCGAAATACTTGGCGGCGTCCACGGGCACGCAGGCGAGCAGCAGGACGGCGTCGCCCAGCGCCAGGCTGCACAGCTGCACGTTGGGGCCGCTGCGCAGGGAGCGCGCGCGGCACACGGCGCTCATCAGCGCCACGTTCCCCACCACCCCCACGGCCATGATCGCCGCGTACAGCGCCGCGATGGAGGCGCGCAGCGCAGGACCCGGCATCGCGGAGTCGCCCTCCGCGTCCTCCGCCGGAAGCCGCTCGTCCCACACGGCGTCGTCGTCCTCCTCCATCCACCCGTGCTGCACCCCCGAGGCGCCCGACCACAGCAGGGCAGGCGACTGCGTCGCGTTGCGCGGGGCGCTCATGGATGAGTTGAGCGACGTTCGCGCTCCTCCTCCGCTCGCCCGTTCTCTCTCGGAACTCTGAGAGACGAGGCGAGGAGGACTCGGGAGTTTGAGACTTCAGGTCGGATCGTGCCAGCACGCGTTGGGGAGGCGTGCGCGGGAGAGCAGCGTGGAGGTGAGTGCAGAGAGTGAGAGAGTGCGGAGGAACGAGTGGAGAGGGGAGATGGGACAGGAGGAGAGTGGCGATGAGTGGAGAGAGTGGAGAATGCAAATTGTATTGGAGAGTGGATGAGTGTGGAGAGGGCGGTGGAGGTTAGAGGAGATTCGAGAGATGAGGGGAGGGTGGAGAGTGGAGGAGCGTTAATATTAAATGAGAGCAGACTGGAAATGAGAGGAGAGTGTAGGGGAGAGTGTAGGGGAGAGTGCAGGGGAGAGTGTGGAGGAGAGTGTAGGGGAGAGTGTGGGGGAGAGTGTAGAGGAGAGTGCAGGGGAGAGTGTAGGGGAGAGTGTAGGGGAGAGTGTGGAAGAGAGTGTGGAGGAGAGTGTAGGGGAGAGTGTGGAGGAGAGTGTAGGGGAGAGTGTAGGGGAGAGTGTAGGGGAGAGTGTAGGGGAGAGTGCAGGGGAGAGTGTAGAGGAGAGTGCAGGGGAGAGTGTAGGGGAGAGTGTGGAGGAGAGTGTAGGGGAGAGTGTGGAGGAGAGTGCAGGGGAGAGTGTAGGGGAGAGTGTAGGGGAGAGTGTAGGGGAGAGTGTAGGGGAGAGTGTGGAGGAGAGTGTAGGGGAGAGTGTAGGGGAGAGTGTGGAGGAGAGTGTAGGGGAGAGTGCAGAGGAGAGTGTAGGGGAGAGTGTAGGGGAGAGTGTAGGGGAGAGTGTAGGGGAGAGTGTGGGGGAGCGTGTGGGGGAGAGTGTGGGGGAGAGTGTAGGGGAGAGTGTGGGGTAGAGTGTGGGGGAGAGTGTAGGGGAGAGTGTAGGGGAGAGTGTGGAGGAGAGTGTGGATGAGAGTGTAGGGGAGAGTGTAGGGGAGAGTGTAGAGGAGAGTGTAGGGGAGAGTGTGGGGGAGAGTGTAGGGGAGAGTGTAGGGGAGAGTGTAGGGGAGAGTGTAGGGGAGAGTGTGGGGGAGAGTGTAGGGGAGAGTGTGGATGAGAGTGTAGGGGAGAGTGTAGGGGAGAGTGTGGAGGAGAGTGTAGGGGAGAGTGTAGGGGAGAGTGTAGGGGAGAGTGTGGAGGAGAGTGTAGGGGAGAGTGCAGAGGGAGAGTGCAGAATCCTCTGCTCGCCCTCAGCTCTGGCAGCACGTACTCTCTCTCTCTCCGTCTCTCCTCTGCAGGAGTGGAGAGTGGCACAGGGACAGACGCGCGCCTGCAGCTCTGAGCGCACGAGGTGGGGGACGAGGAGGGGCCTGCGAGCCGGGAGGAGGAGGAGGATGCGAGCAGACGCCAGGGGATGCGAGGGGAGTCCTCCACAAGGGCCACGTGGCTCCACCTGGCGGTCGCGGCCCCAGATCCACTCGGCGGCGCTCGGGGGGAGGGGCGACCCCCTCTCCGGTGCAGCAGCGGCAGCGTTCCCGATCCTAGCTCTCGTTGGAAGCCGTCACGTGTGGCTTATTGCGGCGGTGCTCATGGGAATGTCGAATTTTCAGCACTGGCTCAGGACGGAGAGTGGAGACTGAGCGCACCACTCCGATTCAGTTTAACACGTAGGCTTTAGATGAGAGTGTAGGGGAGAGTGTAGAGGGAGAGTGCACTCCGATTGCTCGTAGATCACAGCAGGGTGGCAGCCGCAGTGGTGACCGGTCAGGCGTCACGGAAGGAAGTTCCTGAGTTCGATTCCAGACTCGGGCGCTTTACTCTAAGGAGTTCGAGGTGTTTTTTCGGGATGGTTCTGTCGAGTTTCCGCAATACGATTAAGGGTGGGGGAGGAGCAATGTAGATGCTTTGTGAGATCCCAATTGGTGAAATTTTAATTAATTGTTTTTCAGAATTTGGGATGTTTTACCCAATACCAGTTGCTGTTGTACGTTATGTGAGTGGGCTTAACTATGGGAGGGAACCGGATAACCTGGAGGAAACCCATGTAGAATAGGGGGAGATCATACAAAACAGCACACTGACACTCACTCTGCAGAACAGGGGGAGATCATACCAACTCCACATTGACACTCACTCTACAGAATAGAGGGAGATCATACAAACTCCACCAACTATACAATACAAACTTTACTCACTCACTCTGCAGAATGGGGGGAGATCATACAAACTATATTTACTCACTCACTCTGCAGAACGGAGGGAGATCATACAAACTATATTAACTCACTCACTAACTCTGCAGAACGGGGGAAGATCATACAAACTCTATTGGACCACTCACTCTGCAGAACAGGGGAAGAACATAAAACTATATTCACTCACTTTGCAGAACGGGGGGAGATCATACAAACGCTATTGACTCACTCACTCTGCAGACAGGGGAAGATCATAAAACTATATTCACTCACTCTGCAGAACAGGGGAAGATCATACATACTCTATTCACTCACTCACTCTGCAGCACAGGGAAAGATCATACAAACTCTATTCACTCACTCTGCAGGACGGGGGAAGATCATACAAACTCTATTCACTCACTCTGCAGAACGGGGGGAGATCATACAAACGCTATTCACTCACTCTGCAGAACAGGGAAAGATCATACAAACTCTATTCACTCACTCACTCTGCAGAACGGGGGGAGATCATACAAACGCTATTCACTCACTCACTCTGCAGAACAGGGGAAGAACATAAAACTCTATTCACTCACTCACTCTGCAGAACGGGGGAAGATCATACAAACTCTATTGACTCACTCTGCAGAACAGGGGAAGAACATACAAACTCTATTCACTCACTCACTCTGCAGGATGGAGGAAGATCATACAAACTCTATTAACTCACTCACTCTGCAGAACGGGGAAGAACATAAAACTCTATTCACTCACTCACTCTGCAGAACGGGGGAAGATCATACAAACTCTATTGACTCACTCACTCTGCAGAACAGGGGAAGATCATACAAACTCTATTAACTCACTCACTCTGCAGAACGGGGGAGATCATACAAACTCCGGTCACTCTGCAGAACAGGAGGAGAACATACAAACTCCACACCAATACAACCGCCATTCGCCACTAAGTGACGGTGACGTCACCAAGGCGCCTGTGCCAGGCCAGGTGCACTTTGAGGGCACCTGAAGTGTCGACAGCTCGCTGACAGGAGGTCTCGGAACAGACCCAGGTGCGATGGGTTGGCTTACTCAGATGACAGGCCGACGCACCAGCTGTACCCTATACTGTGCCAACTTGCTGTATTTTAGCCGCCCGGAGCTTCGCTCGTTGTTGTGAGCGTCGCTCCTCTGTCCTCAGTTGTTGTTGGAGGGCGACTGCCTCTAACTGCCCAGCAGCAGCGTCCTTCACGAGCCTCCACACATTCACTCACACAGTCTGCAGAACAGGGGGAGAACACACAGACTCCACACTCACTCTCAGCCTGCAGAACAGGGGGAGAACGAACAGACACCACACTCACTCTCAGTCTGCAAAACAGCGGGAGAACACACAGACTCCACACTCACTCTCAGTCTGCAGAACAGAGGGAGAACGCACAGAATCCTCACTCAATCTCAGTCTGCAGAATAGAGGGAGAACACAGAATATATCAACTCACTCTGCAGAACGGGGGAAGATCATACAAACTCTATTCACTCACTCAGTCTGCAGAACAGGGAAAGATCATACAAACTCTATTCACTCACTCTGCAGGACGGGGGAAGATCATACAAACTCTATTCACTCACTCACTCTGCAGAACAGGGAAAGATCATACAAACTCTATTCACTCACTCACTCTGCAGAACGGGGGGAGATCATACAAACGCTATTCATTCACTCACTCTGCAGAACAGGGGAAGAACATAAAACTCTATTCACTCACTCACTCTGCAGAACGGGGGAAGATCATACAAACTATATTCACTAACTCACTCTACAGAACGTGGGGAGATCATACAAACTCCGGTCACACTGCAGAACAGGAGGAGAACATACAAACTCCACACCAATACAACCGCCATTTGCCACTAAGTGACGGTGACGTCACAAAAGCGCCTGTGCCAGGCCAGGTGCACTTTTAGGCCACCTGAAGTGCTCGCTGACAGGAGGTCTCGGAACAGACCCAGGTGCTATGGGTTGGGTTACTCAGATGACAGGCCGACGCACCAGCTGTACCCTCTACTGTGCCAACTTGCTGTATTTTAGCCGCACGGAGCTTCGCTCGTTGTTGTGAGCGTCGCTCCTCTGCCCTCAGTTGTTGTTGGAGGGCGACTGCCTCTAACTGCCCAGCAGCAGCGTCCTTCACGAGCCTCCACACATTCACTCACACAGTCTGCAGAACAGGGGGAGGACACACAGACTCCACACTCACTCTCAGCCTGCAGAACAGGGGGAGAACGCACAGACACCATACTCACTCTCAGTCTGCAAAACAGCGGGAGAACACAGAGACTCCACACTCACTCTCAGTCTGCAGCACAGCGGGAGAACACACAGACTCCACACTCACTCTCAGTCTGCAGAACAGAGGGAGAACACACAGAATCCTCACTCAGTCTCAGTCTGCAGAACAGGGGGATAACACAGACTCCAAACTCACTCTCAGTCTGCAGAACAGAGGGAGAACACACAGACTCCACACTGACTCTCAGTCTGCAGAACAAAGAGCGGACACACTGACTCCACACTCACTCTTAGTCTGCAGAACAGGAGGAAAACGCACAGACACCACACTCACTCTCAGTCTGCAGAACAGGAAGAGAACACACAGACTTCACACTCATTCTCAGTCTGCAGAACAGGGGGATAACACAGACTCCACACTCACTCTCAGTCTGCAGAACTTTGGGAGAACACACAGACTTCACACTCACTCTCAGTCTGCAGAACAGAAGGAGAACACACAGACTCCACACTCACTCTCAGTCTGCAAAACAGGGGTAGAACACAAAGACACCACACTCTCAGTCTGCAGAAGCAAGGGACGGCACACAGACTCCACACTCACTCTTAGTCTGCAGAACAGGAGGAGAACACTGACTCCACACTCACTCTCAGTCTGCAGAACAGGAGGAGAACACACAGACTCCACACTCACTCTCATTCTACAGAACAAGAGGAGAAAACACAGACTCCACACTCACTGTTTGTCTGCAGAACAGGAGTAGAACACACAGACTCCACACCCACTCTAAGTCTGCAGAACAGGGCGAGAACACACAGACTCCAAACTCACTCTTAGTCTGCAGAACAGGAGGAGAACATACACACTCCACACTTACCCTCCGTCTGCAGAACAGGGGGAGAACACACAGACTCCACACTCACTCTCATTCTGCAGAACTTGGGGAGAACACAAAGACTCCACACTCACTCTCATTCTACAGAAAAAGAGGAGAAAACACAGACTCCACACTCACTGTTTGTCTGCAGAACAGGAGTAGAACACACAGACTCCACACCCACTCTAAGTCTGCAGAACAGGGCGAGAACACACAGACTCCAAACTCACTCTTAGTCTGCAGAACAGGAGGAGAACATACACACTCCACACTTACTCTCAGTCTGCAGAACAGGGGGAGAACACACAGACTCCACACTCACTCTCAGTCTGCAGGACAATGGGAGAACACACATAATCCTCACTCAATCTCAGTCTGCAGAATAGAGGGAGAACACACAGACTCCACACTCACTCTCAGTCTGCAGAACAGGGGGAGAACACAGAATCTATTCACTCACTCTGCAGAACAGGGAAAGATCATACAAACTCTATTCACTCACTCTGCAGAACGGGGGGAGATCATACAAACTCCGGTCAAACTGCAGAACAGGAGGAGAACATACAAACTCCACACCAATACAACCGCCATTCGCCACTAAGTGACGGTGACGTCACCAAGGCGCCTGTGCCAGGCAAGGTGCACTTTGGGGCTACGTGAAGTGTCGAAAGCTCGCTGACAGGAGGTCTCGGAACAGACCCAGGTGCTATGCCATTCGCCACTAAGTGACGGTGACGTCACCAAGGCGCCTGTGCCAGGCCAGGTGCACTTTGGGGCTACGTGAAGTGTCGACAGCTCGCTGACAGGAGGTCTCGGAACAGACCCAGGTGCTATGGGTTGGCTGACTCAGATGACAGGCCGACGCCCCAGCATTACCCCCTACTGTGCCAACTTGATGTATTTTAGCCGCCCGGAGCTTCACTCGTTGTTGTGAGCGTCTCTCCTCTTCCCTCAGTTGTTGTTGGAGGGCGACTGCCTCTAACTGGCCAGCAGCAGCGTCCTTCACGAGCCTCCAAACATTCACTCACACTCAGTCTGCAGAACAGGGGGAGAACACACAGACTCCACACTCACTCTCAGTCTGCAGAAAAGGGGGAGAACACACAGACTCCACACTCAGTCTGCAGAACAGGGGGAGAACGCACAGACACCACACTCACTCTCAGTCTGCAGAAAAGGGGGATAACACACAGACTCCACACTCACTCTCAGTCTGCGGAACAGAAGGAGAACACACAGACTCCACACTCACTCTCAGTCTGCAGAACAGAGGGAGAACACACAGACTCCACACTCACTCTCAGTCTGCAGAAAAGGGGGATAACACACAGACTCCACACTCACTCTCAGTCTGCGGAACAGAAGGAGAACACACAGACTCCACACTCACTCTAAGTCTGCAGAACAGGGGGAGAACACAAATACTCCACACTCACTCTCAGTCTGCAGAACAGGGGGATAACACACAGACTCCACACTCACTCTGTCTGCAGAATAGAAGGGGAACACACAGACTCCACACTCACTCTCAGTCTGCAGAACAGGGGGAGAACACAGAGACTCCACACTCACTCTCAGTCTGCAGAACAGGGGGAGAACAAACAGACTCCACACTCACTCTCAGTCTGCAGAACAGAGGTAGAACACACAGACTCCACACTCACTCTCAGTCTGCAGAACAGGGGGGTAACACACAGACTCCACACTCACTCTCAGTCTGCAGAATAGGGGGAGAACACAGACTCCACACTCACTCTCAGTCTGCAGAACAGAGGAAGAACACACAGACTCCACACTCACTCTGTCTGCAGAATAGGGGGAGAACACATACTCCACACTCACTCTCAGTCTGCAGAACAGGGGGATAACACACAGACTCCACACTCACTCTGTCTGCAGAATAGAAGGGGAACACACAGACTCCACACTCACTCTCAGTCTGCAGAACAGGGGGAGAACACAGAGACTCCACACTCACTCTCAGTCTGCAGAACAGGGGGAGAACAAACAGACTCCACACTCACTCTCAGTCTGCAGAACAAAGGGAGAACACACAGACTCCACACTCACTCTTAGTCTGCAGAACAGAGGGAGAACACACAGACTCCACACTCACTCTCAGTCTGCAGAACAGAGGGAGAACACTCCACACTCACTCTGTCTGCAGAATAGAAGGGGAACACACAGACTCCACACTCACTCTCAGTCTGCAGAACAGGGGGAGAACACAGACTCTATTCACTCACTCTGCAGAACGGGGGAATATCATACCAACTCTATTCACTCACTCACTCTGCAGGACGGGGGAAGATCATACACACTCTATTCACTCACTCACTCTGCAGAACGGGGGGAGATCATACAAACGCTATTCACTCACTCACTCTGCAGAACGGGGGGAGATCATACAAACGCTATTGACTTACTCACTCTGCAGACAGGGGAAGATGACACAACTCTATTCACTCACTCTGCAGAACGGGGGAAGATCATACAAACTCTATTCACTCACTCTGCAGAACAGGGGAAGATAATGTATTTAAACCAATAAGGACCAGTTTGTGACCTAACTGGCTTTGATCTAGATAGTTTTTGAGTAATAATGCCCATTTCATCGTTCCGGACGCCTGTCATGGGGTATGGGTTTGAAAGGCATGGTAACTACAACTAAGGTGCCACTCCGCAAACGGGCCGCCCATAAATAACGTCACGATTTTGACCTCCCCTCCCCCCCTCGTCACACGGCGTCACGTAAAGTCAGACCCCCCTCAAATATGACGTCACAAAGCTCTGCCACCCCCCCCCCCCGAGAACCATATTTACTTTTTGAAAATAAAACATGCTTCAAATCACTTTAAACTATTGTCATTGTAGTGCGTATTTAATGTGGCACTGCACTCTGATGTTGTAGGAGAAACACGTATTAAAAAGGAGGCGTTGGAAAGCTGAAATTTAGCATAAAATTCACTTGAAAATATTCATCGTCTAACTAAAACTGCAGATGTTCAGAATATGATGTTGAAATTATCTTATAATTATCAAATATTAAAAGTAATTATAACTCTCAAAAAAACACTTGAAACTTTGTAGTAGAACGAAGCAAAATGGAGATTACAATTATAACAATCACATTAATTCCACAATGAAAAGCCCTGGTAGAATCATTAGAATCCAAATGTTTAATAACAATCATTAAAAAAATATACAAAATGTAATAAAAAAACAATGTATTTTTTGTGCATGAAATACTGAATCGTGCACACTATATACTGATTCGTGAGCGGTTAAAAAAATAATTTCCATAAGATCCTAAATTGTTAAATTCAGTCACTCATGGTAAAGGACAATGGCGAAAAGAAGCATGACGCCATTTTCTGGGTACAAAGAACTAACATTTAATGGAGGAATAATTAATCATGGAGAACGCGGTGGATATTGCATGCTTGCCGAATGACGTCTATTTAGTAGGTACCCCATGATTAATTATCCCTCCATGCTCAAAAATGACTGTTTGATATCTTTGTACCCAAAACATAATAATAGCATGTAAATTTAATACTGATATCAAATATATTATTTAATAAACAAAAGTGTGTGATTTAAAATTATGCCGATTGATATGACAGGAATAATAGTACTTAACTTATTAAAATTCTTATTCGAAACTATAAAGCGTTTTTAATATAACGACTACATTAAAATGTTATTTGCACTTCCTCTTCCTGACGAAGTATTATTCTATATAAAGATGTGACGTAGTTTGACTTCCGGTTCTTAAGTTTAACATAATATAATCTATACTAAATATAAAAGGTGACCTTAATAAATTTAAATAATCAAAAAGTTAATAATGAAAATGAATCAATATTAGTGTTCTATTTCAAATTCGCGTTCACGCAGCCCCGCCTTGCTTACCTTTATAACCTCTTGCCACGGCAACTCTCGCCTACTTCAGCATTTTTCTTGCTGTGGTTGTTCCACCTGATGAAGATTGCTTGTGTTGCGATCGAAACGTCGTGATTTGTTTTTAGTTTTATTTCCACCTACGTGACTTTACCGAAAGAACCAACGAGTATAGAACGTGTTGTTTATGTATATTTAAAGTTGCGCATTTTTATGTGACGTCACATTTCTAAACCCCCCTCCCCCCTCGTCACACATCGTCACAAATGTCTGACCCCCCTCTCCCCCTAGGTGTGTGACGTCATTTATGGATGGCCCCATAGGTTATATCAGAATATGTCCCACACACATGGAGGATTACAAAAATCATGACTAGACTCTGACACCTCAGGTGGTACCAATAAGTGATGTTTTGGTCTGGGCCCATGGACTAAAGGCCACGGGGTGACCAATGAGGTCTGAATTGGTCTGTGATGAGGTCGGACTCTGATACGGGGTTCACAGGTATGTGAATGACCCCCAGTGGGGGGGGCGGGGTCTCCGCGTGGGCACGTGACGAGGGGGGGGGGGCACCCCGCCCGCCCGCCCGCCCGCGTCATGCAGCTGCGCGGGAACGGCGCGAGACGCCAGCGGCATTTTGGCGCGAAAACCGCGAGGGGAAACGGAGCGCGCCAGAGGCTCCTGCTGAGAGAAAGGCCTTGAGAGGAGAGACTGTGAGTGAAGTTCCTGTTGTTGTTGTTCGGAAGCCATGGCCGCGACTCCCATCCACGCCGCGTCTCCATTCAAAGTGAAGGGGCAGATCCAGGTGACATACACATCCACACCTCTCACTCACTGCCACTCTCACGCTGACTCTTACGCTGTTACTTACTCACTCTGACTCTATCACGCTCTCATTCTCACGCAGTCACTGACTCTCACTCGTGATTCTCACATTGTCACTGATTCTCACGCTCTCACTGTGACTCTCTAAATCTCACACTGACTCTCAATCTCACGCTCTCACTCAGACTCTCACTCTGTTATTGATTATCACTCTTGATTCTCACGCTCTCATCGACTCACGCTCTTACTGACTCTCACGCTAACTCACGCTCTCAACCCTCACGCTCTGACTCTCATGCGGACTCCCCGTGAGGCTGTGAGCACCGCGAGTGGAGTCGTCTCAATACCAAACCCGTAATTGCCACACACTCATATATTCACTCTCACAGTCAACACAGCTAACATCAGTGGCGAGTCACATCTGAACACATCTATTACCGCCCCATCCCTCCATTCAACCTGGACTGACCAGCGTGAAGTATGATCAAAGACCTCCCGTGACCCATATAGGTCTGGGGAGGCCTTCATCCAGTAGAGGACTGACAGGACCCAAGACATTTGTATTGACTTTACAACGAGAGAAGTGGAGATTTGTCCACCTCGTGTCCCGCATCACACCACTTCTCATCCAGAACACCTTCGTCTCCCTGGTTATGAGTGAACTTAACCACAGGCAATCTATCCACATAGCCTAGGACTTCATGAAGAGAATGATAATCTTTAATTAGACTGGAATAATTCAATGAGCTATGAAGATTTTTTTTTCACATATGTCCAGTAGTGGCGGGTCAGAAAGTAAAAACAAACGCATCGTCACTCCATCATACGTAATAGTAACAGTAGTTCGCCATCATCATCAGCCACAATCTAGCATCAGTCAGATAGTTCTTCACCATCATCAGCCAAAATCCATCATTAGTCATAGTCTCATAAAGTTCACCATCGGCCACAATCCATCATCAATGCATATATTATTAGAGTATGTTTTTTGTTTGCATTTTGACCACAAGTATTGTGGTTAATGCAGACATGATTCTTTGTAAAAGGTTTCAGTTTGATATTTTAACACCTGTTTTGTTGCCAGATAAAAGGGGAAAAACCTATTCTCATCAGTCATAATCTCATATAGTTCATCAGCCACAATCCATCATCAGTCATAGTCTCATAGAGTTCACCATCATCAGTCATAGTCTCATATAGTTCACCATCAGCCACAATCCATCATCAGTCATAGTCTCATGTAGTTCACCATCATCAGCCACAATCCATCATCAGTCATAGCATTCATCATCAGGTGAGTCTTGACGATTCGGCGATGCGATTTGGCCCGCAAAGCGATTGAATCATCCTGCATGACGCCGTCTTCGGCTGAAAAAGCCACCAGGTTAGGAAGTTAGAACCCTGATCAGTAGCACCGAGACTCAACAGCTAATTCAGTTCACATGACGGCCGGTCACTCACTCACGTTACTGGTAACCCATTGTGTCTTATGCTGGCCGATGAACGGGCCTGCATCAGTGTGCTAACACGCAGCATGCTGTGCCCTGCAGGTCATCTTCGGGCCCATGTTCTCTGGCAAAAGGTAACCCCAGCACATTCTCGACACGAACTGCGCTAGCAGATCTTCAACCCCAGTAAGGCCAATACTCATCAACACTGCCCTGGCCTCAGTGCTGTTAGGATTATCTCTTTCACATGGCATTAGGAATACAGGCTAGCTATAGATTTTCATCTGGTGACTTTTAACTCTGAAACTTTAACGCCCATATTGGATTTTATTTCGTACTTTTGTATTTAAGTGGATTACGTTTTAATCGCATTGGGAGGCTGGTTGGTGACGGAGTGGTTGATATATATTCGCGCCTCACAGTAAAATGCTGACTCATACAAACTCCACACAAAAGGTAAGCGGCCTTCTGTGTGGAGTTTGTACGTTCTCCCCCTGTTATGCATGGGTTTCCTCTGGCTTTTCTCTAGTTTTCTCCTGTAGCTAACCACACACACAGAATATCATTGATATTGGCCAGTCATCACAGTGTAGCAGGATCCTCCTGAAAAAAAGATCTTCAGGCTGAGTGTGGCTTTCTGGGAAATAAACTTTAATTGTTTATGCACTGTAATAATATTAAATGTTAATCGGTGCATTTAATATATTATAACGTAGAGTTCCAACAGTAAAACAAACACTCGAATTGAAGATGTTTTTATTTGTTCAACCAAATACTGTTTGCTTTTGTAACTGGACTGGATTTGTTTTTTAATAATCTGCACATGGGGACACAACCCTCATGTGCAACAACCACCACACCAACAACCACAGCCGCCATTCACCACTACGTGGTGGTGTTGATGCGGTGGCCATGGAGCTCGTGCCAGGCTAAGTGCACGTTGTGGTTTGTCAAATGTGGAAGGCGTTGGCTGGTTGAGATGACCATTGGTGATCCCCAGTGTGCCATCTTGTGAGTGTCGCTCTTCAACTCTCCGTTGTTTTTGGAGAGAGATTTCTTTCAACTGCCCAGTCGCGTCCTCCACGAACCTCCTCTACAGAGACCGATCTTGATTCCGCTGGTATTGGTCATCAGCAATTCCGCTGAGCTCCACATCCTTTTACCGCATTAAACCCACCTCTCCTCCAGCCTGTCCCATGCCCGTTTATAGCACCCTCTATCTAGGCAAATAGAAGCTGCTTTAGCATGTGGTGGCTGGGCATGCGTGCTACATGACCCAGCCAACGCATCCTTGCCTGCTGCAGAAGCTCACTGATAGATGTGGCTCGATCCATATCTTTCAAGGATCTCACACAATCCAGTCTGGTTATAAACCCAGGATGGCTTGCAGGCAGGCCAGCCTAAATATTTAAACTGGCGAAGATGTTCCTTCAAAGTGGCGCACATTTTGCAAGTATACAGAAGGAAGGGCATAACTGGCTGAGAAGACCCGGTACAATTTAGTAGGAATGTGTATGACTATCATGTATTAGTGTCAGAAATGCATTCAAAGTCAGAGTGATTTCATGCTCAAATGAGCATTGATGTTGCCGTGGTCTGTGATGCTGAAATGCTGCTATACTGCTTCGATGTTGCTGCTAATGTTGCTGCTGTGGTGCTGCTGCTGTGATGATTTCCCGCAGCACGGAGTTGTTGAGACGTGTGCGCCGTTTCCGTGTCACACGGCACGAGTGCCTCCTGATCAAATACGCACGTGACACGCGCTACTCGGAGAGTGGGCTTGCCACACACGACCAGTACGTACACGCACAACATACACTATAACAGCAGGCTCGCCGCGCACGACCAATACGTACACACACACATTATACACACTCTACACACTCACTACACACATACCAAACCACACATGCTACTTAGAAGTGGTTTATAGAGCCAATAACTCACTGCTCTAGTCTGTGCCCTGTCTCTTTGTGTGTGTTCTCTCTCACTCTGTGTGTCTGCCTCTGTATACCTTTCTTTATTTGTCTGTGTGTGTGTTTGTGTCTGTGTTTCTATATCTGACGTTCTCTGTGTGTCTATGTGTGTCTCTGTGTCTGATTCTGTGTGTATTTGTCTGTCTCATTCTGTGTTTGTGTAGATATGAGATGGCAGCTGTTCCGGCGTCATGTCTGTACGACATTCATTCCCTCGCACTGCCCTGCTCCGTCATTGGCATTGATGAGGGCCAGTTCGTGAGTAACACACACTGCGACTCAGAGACAAAGATCCCCCGTGTAGTCTACGCTGGCTTTTGGGACAAGTTCTGTTAGTTGGAACCTATTAAGGCTGGCATGGCATAAAAGGGGGTGAGTGGCCAGCAGTACACCTGGCCGCCTTTATCTCCCAAGTGACGATGTCTACACACCGCACCAAGTTATCTTATAAGGCTGAATCTGCCTAGGGGAGGCCCAGTACCATTTCAGATATTTGCTGCTGATGTTCGCTGTGAGCAGGAATTGAACTCGGGTTGCTAGGTTAATTGCACAATGCGCTGTCCCATGCGCCACCCCTTCACTCCCGTGGGCCTGTGTGGTACAAAAGACAAAGATGCTTCGTAGCCTTCACAGGTGTTGGGGCAAGTGCTGTTAGTGAGCACCTATGAAGACCGGCACGGCACACGAGGAGGTCGGTGGCCAGCACCTTTGTCTCGCCAGTGGGAATGTTTTTACACACCGCACCAGGTACTCATTTGGGGCTGAGTCGACCTAGGGGATGCCCAGGACTGGTTCAGCTATTCGTCCCCGATGTTGGCTGCGAGTGGGAATTGAATTCAGGTCGCTGTGTTCGCAGCACAGCGCGCTGATGACTGCTGCATTGCTCCCCACTCCCTGTGTGGTACACACATATGCACATACATATACACATATAAAAGACAAAGAACCGCCATATAGCCTGAACAGACTATTGGGGCAAGTGCTGTTGGGGCGCACCTATGAAGGCCGGCACAGCACGCGAAGGGGTGGGTGGCCAACAACATGCCCAACTGCCTTTAATTTTCCAGTGGTGATATTTACACACCACACAAGGTACTCATTTGAGGCTGAGTCGACCTAGGGGAGGCCCATGACCAGTTCAGATAATATCGTCACTGGTTTTGGCCATGAGCAGGAACCGAATTCGGGTTGCCGGCATTCGTAGCGCAGCATGCTAACCCTACACTACTGCTCCTCACATAACAACAACAACCGCCATTCGCTACTAAGTGGCGGTGACATCACCATGACGCTTGTGCCAGGCCATGTGCACCTTGAGGCCACGTGAAGTGTCGAATGCCCGCGGGCAGGAGGTCACGGGGCAGACCCATGTGCCACGGGTCGACTGACTAAGATGACTGAGATCACTGGCTGATACAACACCTGTGCCCCCTACTGTGCCAACCTGTTGTGGTTTAGCCACCCGGCGCTCCGCTCGTTGTTGTGAGCGTCGCTCCTCCGCCCTCCGTTGTTGTTGGAGGGCGAATACCTCCAACTGCCCAGTAGCGTCCTTCACGAGCCTCCTCCACAGAGGCCGATCTTGACACCGCTGGTACCAGTCATCGCCAAGTTCACTCAGCTCCACGTCCTCCTGTACCACAACACTCCGTCTCTTCTCTAGCCCGTGCCGCGCCCGTTTAGCCCCTTCGATCCGGCCGAACAAAAGCTGTTTCGGCATGCGGTGGCTGGACATGCGGGCTACATGACCCAGCCAACGCAGCCTTGCCTGCCGGAGGGTCTCACCAATGGGACCTTGCCCAGATCTTTCAAAGATTTGTGAGCTCCTCACACAATCCAGCCTGGTTAAACCCAGGATGGATCGTAGGCAGGCTTGCCTAAATGTTTCTAACCGGCGAAGATGTTCCATTAGGGGGGTCCACGTTTCACAAGCGTAGAGAAGGGAGGGAATGACTGTGGCCGAGAAGACCTGAAGCTTAGTGCGGAGCGACAGACCAGGTAGCTTCGACACAGCGTTACGCAACCGATGAAAAGATATTGCCGCTCGACTGATTCGGAGTGAGACCTCTGCTGTTAAATTGGAGCCGGTCATAAGCACACTGCCCAGGTATGGGAAACTCTCCACTCTCTCCACAACTGCCCCATCACCGATTGGGAGTTGTGGGGGTGGAGTGTCCGATGGTACAAAATATCCAGGCAGGTGCTTAGTTTTGGTGGGGCTGATGGTAAGGCCTCATCTCTTAGTGGCACGCTCCAGTCTCAGCAAGCAGCGTCTCCAACTCCTCCTCTGAATGAGCAGCTATTACCAAATCATCGGCATACATAACGTGGTTGAGCAATAGGGAGCCATCCAATGACCGCACCCGGGCATCGATCAGCCTCCCATTATATCTGTACCATATGGAGATTCCCCCGGTACAGCTATGGAAGGCTTCACGAACTACGTGGTCGAAATAGATGTTAAATAATATGGGAGCCAGAGGACATCCCTGTCGCACCCCAAGGTGTACAGGGAATGGCTCTGACTCCCGGCCACGTAGTTTTACCCGGGCCCGCTCCCCATCATGAAGGTCCTTAATGATCGTGAGCAGAGGGTCAGGTACTCCAAAAGCATGAAGAACAACCCAGAGACCAGGCCTACTGATGGTATCATAGGCCTTGACCAGGTCAATAAAGCAGAGATGTAGGTCTTGCTGGAATTCCCTACACCTCTGCTGTAGCAGACGGACAGAACATATGGCATCTGTGCAGGACCACCCTTTCCTGAAACCGCATTGGGGCTCCGCAAGCCTCTCCTCAGCGTGCCTGGCAAGGCGATGTTGAATAATCCTTGCCAGGACCTTTCCTGGCACACTGAGGAGTGAGATGCCCCTATAGTTGTTACAGTCTGTGCGGTCCCCCTTAAAGAGGCGGACCACCAGGGCATCCTTCCAATCCTGCGGAACCCGTCCAGTGGTCCAGAGTGTTGTTATGATGTCATATAGGGCAGTATGTGCACAAATGCCACCCTCCCTCAGCATTTCGCTTGGGAGATCATCTCTGCCCACTGCCTTTCCTGGTCTCAGACTCCGGATCGCCTTCAGTACTTCCTCAACAGATGGCACTTCAGCCAGCCACTCACAGGGGGTGACTTCTTCCAATATTTGAGGCACCGCAGCCTCAGCAGGGTCATCCTCACTTTGTGCCACGATGTTTTCCTGGCTGAGGGATTTTCCCTCCCCCAGGACCTCAGAAATGCTCAACAAATCTGCAAACCTGTTCCTGGGGGTCAGAGATTGGATCACTGTTTTTTCCCCTAATAATGGTAATAGGTGTGGCGCTGCAGGTTACTTTTTTGATGGAGTTAAATAGAGATTTGTGATCGCGGGCCACTGAGGCAGACTCCATCTCCTCAGCAACCCGCGACCACCACACATCCTTGCAGCGCCTCACAGCTCTCCGAACCTCCAAGCGAAGGCTGCGGTAAGCCTCCTCATTCTCTGACATGGGATTCTGTAGCCGATGACAGTGGGCCTATCGCTTTTTCTCAACCATCCTGAACACCTCTGTCAGCCAGGGTCTCTGGGGAGGTCTGGACCGTGTACCCAATGCAGCCATTGCAGCTGCATGAGTCAAGTCCTAAACCTCGCCCATTTACCTTCGACATCAGGAGGAGTGGGGGACGATGCCAACCCCTCCTCACATATACACACGTACACATGCAATTACCGTATTTTCCCGCATATAACCCGCGGGGTATGCCACTTTTTACAAACAAACCAAGACCCTGCGGGGTATATGGAGGTGCGGGCTATCCCAAAAATATTTTACACGTGTAACATGTCGTAACACGTTACATTTTTTCATGGTAGGACTATCCACTATGCAACACTTATCTTTGACTAAAGCACTGCTGAATAAACCACTCACACTAAAATTCAACATGTTATCACGTTTTAGTTTATTCGAATTGTTTGTACAATGAAACGACAATGTTTGAAGTGGGCGCACTTTGTTTACCGTAATACTTTCAGTGGCTGTAGGGGGGTGCGAAAGTTTCAGCTGAGGTAATTGATTGCACAATGGGAAGGGCCTTAACAAGCGTCTACCAATTTCGATTTAAAGCTTTCGTGACTGCAGGGATTTATCTTCTGGATTCTTTCGGTGAAGTCACGTAGAATGGAGATAAAAAAAACAGAATTAAATTCTCACGACGTTTCGGCCACAACACAAGTAGCCTTCCTCAGGTGAAGAAACAGGACTGTCCGGAAGACAGCGCTGTCTTCCGGACAGCTACTTGTGTTGTGGCCGAAACGGCATGAGAATTGTATTCTATTCTCATTTTTTAATTATTTTATCTCCATTCTACGTGACTTTACTGAAAGAACCCAGAAGAAGCATCTACCAGACGTGGAATCATAATTGCTGAGTCCCTTAGGCCGCTGCTATTGGCTGAGCACTATACAGTCACGACCATGAGCTTTGTTTCAAACTTCCAATGGCTTTGTTGCCAGGAGGCAATGGCGTCACCGTAGTGCTGCTATTGTCAGCGCACTGCACAATCTACCAGTGCTAAAACTGTACAGGGGTAACTACCGGTCCAGTAGCTGTAATATGATGAGGTCGAATGCTGGTAAGCCTAACAAGTACGCTTACTTACGGTAGTTATCTACCAGTTATGTGTTACTTATTTATTGGATATTTACTTTTGTTACTTATTTACTGTTTTAAGTTCACTCGTTTCCGGTTAGTTTGTTTTCTTTGTGCACGTTATGATTTTAATGTTAACAATTTATAGTGGAATGTATTACAAATGCAAACTTTGTATTAATATGATGGAATTAATCTGCGGTAACGACGTTAAAGATATGAATGCATGCGGGGTATATGGAGGTGCGGGCTATTTGAAATTTGTTTTACACAAAATGCTATTTTTGCGGGGTATATGCGTCTGCGGGTTATATGCGTATGCGGGCTATATGCGGGAAAATACGGTACACACAAGGCTCCATGAGTCTGCCACACTACGGACATTATGGTAACGGGACAGCACGGTAACAAGACACAGGCCGACACAGTTAACGCGCAGCACATACTACTGCCATGCCGTGATGGTGAGTAGTGCACTGCGATCTAGAGGTCGTCGTGTTCGATCTCCCAGCATGGGAGTCGATTGGGCTGCCCTGATCGATTGGCGAGCCCTGGTTTGCACGCCTCACAAGCGAGAGAGAGTGCTGACACGTGGCATGCCATTCCACAGTTCCCAGACTGTGTGCAGTTCTGCGAGGAGATGGCGAACTTGGGCAAGACTGTCATCGTCGCGGCCCTCGATGGAACATTTCAGCGCAAGGTTTGTGCCCCCGCCCCCATGTCTGAAAAATTCTCAAACGTCCAATAGTTCCACTTTTAAATTTTTACTGATTAGCAAACACCGAGCAGCAAACACCGCGATCAACTCGGCCTGTGTAGGCTCCACGGGGTGGTGTGTGTGCGCGGTGCCTTGCTGGCCTTCATAGGTAGTCGCTAACAGCACTTGCACCAATAGTCTGTTAAAGGCTATATGGGGAAACTTTTTTGTCTTTGTGTCTGTGTGAGGCAGGCGTTTGGGAACGTTCTGGCACTGGTGCCGCTTGCAGAGAGTGTGGTGAAGCTCAGCGCTGTTTGCATGCGCTGCTACAAGGAGGCGGCCTACACCAAGCGCCTGGGCTCCGAGACACAGGCAACGCTCTCAGATCATTCACTGTGCTCTTCCCTCACTCCCCTTTACCGTGCAACTGATGTGCTTGTGATTGGGTTTCCTGTGTGCATGTGCGTTGAGAGGGAGTGTGAGTATGGGGAGCAGTAGTGTAATGGTTCATGCACTGCACTACGAACTCGGCAACCCGATCTCAATTATCGCTCGTGACAAACACCATTGCCAATTATCTGTACTGGTTCTGAGCATCCCTGAGGTTAACTCAACATCAAGATGAGTACCTGGTGTGATGGGTATATATTGCCAATAGTGAGATAAAGGCAACTGGTCGTGGTGTTGGCCATCCACCCCCTTCATGTGCCGTGCCAGCTTTCATAGGTGCTCACGAAGAGCACTTTTCTCAGCAGTCGGTTAAAAAGGCTACATGGGGGATCTTTGTGTGAGGTGTGATTGAGAGAGAGTGTTCGTGAGTGTGGCGCAGTGATTAGCACACGGTGCTATGTAAACCGGTGACCCGAGTTCGATTTCTGCTCACAGCCAACGTCGGTAACATACATCTGAACCGGTCCTGGGCTTCCCCTAGGTCGACTCGGCCTCATTTGACTACCTGGTGCAGTGTATACAACATCAGCAGTGGGGAGGTAAAGCTGGCTGGGCGTGGTTACGGCCACGCCACCTCCTCCTGTGCTGCGCCGACCTTAATAGGTGATAACTAACAACACCGGTGGACTCTTTTTGCGCAGGTGGAGGTGATAGGAGGAGCAGACAAGTACATGTCCCTGTGCAGACTCTGCTACTTCCACTCGGAGCACGAGGCGCTCCTGTCAGAGCTCCCGGCTGAGAATGAGACTCCGCTCGGCGCCACCGCGCAGGCGGCACCGTCGTCACGCCTCCCGGCTCGGCAGCTCTTCCCCCTGCAGCCTCACAACTCGTAGCGGTGCCACGCCGGTCTCCAGAGGGGAGCGCCTGCCGTCTTTGTCGCGCAGTACGAACGGCACTCCTCAGAAGGAGGCAGACATTGAGCATTTTATATCTGCCACTCGTACCTGATTTTTTGCTTGAGGCCACGTAATGATCTGGACACATTTGTGCGTCATTAAGAATTCGATAATTGTCATGCGATGCACGAGCGTTTAATGACGTGCCAGTTATTATTGTTTGGGCTCAACTCGCCGGTAAGCCGATAAACAATTCTCTCAACCAAGCATCTTTAGGACGAGATCCAGAAAATCAGTCAGAATCACTTCCTGGATCTTTATTCTGAATTCCTGGCACTTTGTCCTGAAGACTTGATGCAGTTTCAATAAAACGTAATTTCTTATCTAATCGATGTTAAATCTGGCTGTGAGAATAGTTTTTTCTAACTCACCGGTAAATGAGCTGAAACAATAGGTGTGTCTTTAAACGCTTGCACGCTGTGAAACTAATTTGTTTGGCTGTGTCGGGTGGTGAAGGGTTTCACTGCATGGTCTAATCCAAAAGTCAATGATGATTTCTAACATATTCTTAGCTCTTTCGGTAAAGTCACGTTGAAGGGAAACAATAAAGAGAACAATAAAGAGCTTAGAATATGAATTACTGCAGTCACGAAAGCTTTAAATCAAAATTTGATTTCTAACATTGTCTGCAATAAATATCAATTTTTAAGGCTGTATATAATTGTGGAAATGCCAGCACACTACGCCGGCACTTCTTACAACACCAAAGACGTGCACTGGCACTATTCCTATTTCTCTGCTTTGATGTTCGTGCAGATGGGAAAGAGCAGCGAGAGTGACTGGGTGTGTGAGAGTCAAGGTGTGTGCGACGTAAATTTTGTGAGTGCAAGTTTATTAGGTGTGCGAGCCGATGCGTGAGTGTGCGAGTATCGGTGTGGGATGCGGTACATTCGGGTGAAATATTACCACTCGTATATTGACGCCACGTGCTATATTATATTACTAAATATGGACAATGACGAACATTGTCATTTTAAAAAGAATAAAAAAACTACTTTGACCTGTATCTAGAAGCCGTCTCTTTGAATTGCCATTGGCTTGAGTGAGGTTTTTTGGTGTTCCAGTACCACGCCACGTTCGGTGTGTAGCTTCTCACTCGACATCACTGTGGTTTGTCTTCGATTGCCATTCATGATGGAGATGTGCACATCAGCCTGTTGATGTTCTGATTACTCCAGTGTGAGGAGGAATGTCAAAACCAAGAGCTGTGATGTTTGTCTCGAATGAGGAGGTGTTTATTCTGCATGTCCGCGTTGTTCCACTGTTTGCGACCATTCTTCTGGATCTGAGTGAGATCCTCAGATGGTAATAGCAGCATGATCCCAGAATGGGGAACTGGGCTTGAGTTGACGTTGGGGTACATTACTGAGGTCTGGTTTGATGAGTAGGTTATTATTGCAAGAAAGTGTGTAAACTCTACAGTTTGCAAGTCTGCCAATATTTGATGGCAGGATGTTTGCCAGAACAGGGTACCCAGGGTATTGATTGGTGCCTGGTTGAGAGTTATGGTGTGCATCGCGTTATTCAACTGTGCATCTAGGAGTTGTGTGTGCGAGCTCCTGGACCAGGCTGCAGCACAGTTACTCTGCCACTGAGTAGATCAGTGAGAGAGTGGCAGTTCTCAGAACATCACCTGAGGCTCCCCAGGTTGTTTCTGGCAAACTAATATACGTGGACAGCTGCCACTGCGGGTGTCAGAGTGTATCGTTGTTGTGATGTATTTGTGGATTGGGCATTTCGTCGTTGTGTTGTACAATCTGTTCTGGATGACCACAGTCGGATAATGGAGAGTTTTAATTTCCAATTGTGCATCAGGTATCTGCATCTGCCATGGTTTGTGCATATGCATTTAGGGTAGACCATGAGCTTTATGGAAGATCAAACCCAGGGATCTTCTGCGTTGGGTCTTTCACGAGGTGTTTTTGAGTTCTTTTGAACTCCAGCTCTCCAAGCTTCATTGGGGTTGAACTCGCAATGTGTGAAGGTGAAGTCCATGGGTCCAAAAGGGCTTGCGGCGTGACTTCAAGCGATAACGAGGGACGTTATTGAGGTCCTGATGAATGGGAAGGCGACTGTTTTCCTCGATTCGCAGGGCTTCCCAGAGGGTTGCAGCGTTTCGGCAGATGGATGGGGGAGAGATTTGTGACAGCACGGGCAGCCAGGGTATTGGGGGTCGATTGGAGGGTTCCAGTGATACACCGCATTTCTTTGTTCAGTTCGACATCAACAAGTCGAGTGTGACTACTGATTTATACTGGTGCACAGTACTCGGCTACAGAGTACACAAGGGCCATCGTTAATGTCCGTTGCACTGTTGCTGATGCTCCCCAGGTTGTGCTTGCCAGTTTATGGATAGCAATCATCGCCCCCTACAGGCAGACTAATGCCATCTCGCAGAAGCTTGATGCCATAGGCTAGACCACATCGCCCCCTACTGGCAGATGAGGGCACAGGGACCGGTCGACTGAGGGTGCCCTTTCAGCGTGAAGCGCCCAGCCGTTCTCAGTCATTCACCTGTCGGCCCTTGTGTCTCCACCGTGGTTGCCATCAGAGTCGGGGGGCTGGCGTCTGTGGGTGGTAGGGGTTGATTTTTCACGGAGGGATGGGGGGCTGATATAGCAGCAGCTGCTTCTCGGGTCTCGCGGTGGAGTCGGCACTCAAAAGAGGAGCCCGGGACCACTGCATAGGAGTATGTGGCAACTTATGTCCGACTGGACATCTGTGGGAAAAAAGAGCTTTATAGCTCATCGGATTCTTCCAGCATTTCTGATTCTGAACTCGATCTTACCTGCATCGATTCCCGCGTGGGATTCACCGAGCCGTGCGCATGCGCAGTCCCGGCAAGCACCAGGCCGGATCCCCGGCACGTGAATGGGGGCCAAGCGCCCCGTGCCGGCACATGAATGGACGCCAAACCTGGTCACTCGCGGCCGCCGCATTCTCTCTGCGATGTTTCTGCCCGCGGAATGTTCACTCGGCTCATTTTCAAATTGATTTGCTGAAAAAAAATCTTATACTTTTTTGTGAATGACTTTCCATTTTTTTCATTCCTGTAACGCGGTTTGCTTTTTAGCGCTGATTTTTGTTTTGCTTTTGAAGTGGCGAGGACCCCCCCCCCCCCCATAGTCTAGCAGGGAGAGTCCTTGCTATCATCATCTAAGGCAGCGGTTCAAAGCGTGCCTGACTGCTGCTGCAGACACTGAATGTTGAGACCGGTCCCGACTTTTTCAGTACGCAACCCCTAGAAGCGCCGTGTGACTGATGGGAATGTGTAAACAAAACGTTCGTTTGTCCATAATATAGGTGTCTGGGTTACATCTCGTAAATATAAATGTGTCCTTAAACCCACCGCCACCCGACACAATGCGTTACTAAATTATGGTTTAAAGCTTTCGTAACTGCAGGGATTCATATTCTTGGTTCTTTCGGTAAAGTCACGTTGAAGGGAAACAATATAATACCACACCTGATGATGATTGCTTGTGTTGCAGTCGAAACGTCGTGAGAATTTTATTTTTTTATATTTTTATTATTTTATTGTTTCCCTTCGACGTGACTTTACCGAAAGAACCAAGAATATAAAAATGCGTTACTAGTTCAGCACACGCCGGTGTGTTGGTGAGTAAACCTACGACAATTTACAATTCGAGTACTCTGACGTTTCGCCTAATTACAACCAGCCGCATGATCAGGTGACAGCCAGAATTGTGGAGAAATCCTGCTCCTGTTTCGGTCTTTAATAGACGGGAGATAAATGTGATGCCGTCACTTGTGATCCAATAAGGGGGGGTAATTTAGTCATTACAATAGATATTCTTTGGGTCTTTCGGTAAAGTCAGAAGATAGGTTCAAAGAAAATAAAAAAAACTACGAGCTTTCGATCGCAACACAACAAGCATTCGTTATCAGGAAGAAAAAAAGAGGGGGGCAGCTGCGGAGGCAGACTTTTAAAGGTTTTGGATACTTATTACATTATTATTACAATGGAAACTTATTGTTTGGGTTATTCACAGTTAACACACGGTAGGGATGCACATTATGCGTGCACAGTATCCATGCACATTATGCAAGCACATTGTGTATGGACATTATGCATGTACATTGTGCATGTACATTGTGTATGTACATTACAGCTTCACATGCGAAAGTCTTCGTGGTAAACTGAGTGCGAGGCGGACGGAAACGAAGAGAAGTGGGGGGGGGGGGCGCGAGTCGCCGCGTCTTGAGCCGCATCGAGCCGCCCCCTCCCTGCGCTGCGTTCCGTGGGGGCCCCCGGGGTCATTGAGCACGCGGGGACGGCTCCGGTGGTGAGGCGAGACGCGGTCTCAGCTACCGCATCTACACTGCGACACAGCAGCATAACCACAGCTACACTGCGACACAGCAGCATAACCACAGCTACACTGCGACATAACCACAGCTACACAGCAGCATTACGACGGCGACATAACCACAGCTACACAGCAGCATAATCACGCCTACACTGCGACAAAGCCACAGCTACACAACGACATACCCACTGCTACATAACGACAACCACAGCTTCACAACAACAGCTACACGACATAGCCACAGCTACATGACATAGCCACAACTACATAACCACACAACCACACCTACACACCAGCTACACAACGACACTACTGTGCATACAATGTGCTTACAATGTGCTTCTCTCTGTGTCTCTGGCACAGGGTGGCCGGTTAGAACACATTGAGGCTGGCCTGCCTACGAACCATCCTGGGTTTATCCAGGCTGGATTCTGTGAGGAGCTCACAAATCCTTGAAAGATCTGGACACGGTCCCATCAGTGAGCTCCTCCGACAGGCAAGGCTGCGTTCGCTGGGTCATGTAGCCCGCATGCCCAGCCACCTAATGCCCAATCAGCTTCTGTTTGAACGGATAGAGGAGGCTAAACGGGCACGACACGGGCTGGAAAAGAGATGGACTGATATGGTATAGGAGGTTGTGGAGCTAAGTGGACTTGCTAATGACTGGTAGCAGTGTTTTCAAGACCGGCCTCTGTGGAGGAGGCTCGTGAAGGACGCTGCTACTAGGCAGTTGGAGGCAGTCGCCCTCCAGCAATAACGGAGGGCAGATGAACGACGTCACAACAACGAGCGGAGCGCCTGGCGGATAAAACAGCAATTTTGATTTAAAGATTTCGTGACTGCAGTGATTCATATTCTTGGTTCTTTCGGTAAAGTCACGTTGAAGGGAAACAAAATAATAAAATATATATAAAACAATACAATTCTCACGACGTTTCGACTGTTACAGTCATCATCAGGTGTGAAAAAACCAACGGCAAGAAACATTTGAAAGAAGTGGCGGTTTGTAGTTATTTATTTTTAAACGTTTTTATTTAGTTACTTTTAAACGGTGTTTTTATTTATTTTAAAAACCCGATTTGACAGTTTGAAAATTTAATGTATGCATACATGAAATTTTCGTCTCCCCCCTCCTCTTTTCCGAACATAGATGGACTCGTCCTTCTAAACAAACTGTCAAATCGCTATCCGTGGTGCCAACGGTTTTTTAAAATAAATAAATACAACACCTAGGAATAGGTTTTACCCTTTTAACTGGCACATAAATAAAAACAACGTTTATAAATAAATACAAACCGCCACTTCTTTCAAATGCTTCTTGCCGTTGGTTTTTTCACACCTGATGATGACTGTGTTACAGTCGAAACGTCGTGAAAATTTTATTGTTTATATATTTTATTATTGTATTGTTTCCCTTCAACGTGACTTTACCGAAAGAACCAAGAATATAAAACACAGCAAGTTGGCACAGTAGGGGGCACAGCTGGTGCATCATCTGCCAGTCATCTCAGTCATCCCATGGTACCTGGGTCTGTCTCGTGACCTGTCGGCGAGCCTTCGACACTCAAAGTGCACCTGGCCTGGCACTGGCGCCGTGGTGGCCTCACCACCACTAAGTGGTGAATGGCGTCTGTTGTCTCTAACCCAATGAGGAGCGGTGGCGCAGTGGTTTTGGGCACTGTGATTCGAACCCGCCGACCAGAATGTTATTCCTGCTCACGGCCAACACAAGTGATGAATATCTGAACCGGTCCTGGACCTCCCCTGGTCGACTCAGCCTGAAATTAGTACATGGTGCGGTGTGTAAGCATCGGCATTGGGGAGGCATGCAAACAGATGTACTGGCCACCCCACCCCCTCGTGTGCTGTATGTATATATGTTTAACTTATTTCGCACCGTACGTAGCCAAACGTGCTAACCGGAGGTCCTGTGCCGGCCTTCATAGGTGCTCATTAACAGCCCTTGCACCAAACAGCCTGTGAGCTCTGCAAGCGAGGCTGCATTGACTGGGTTATGTAGCCCGCATGCCCAAGTAGCTTATGTTTGGCTGCATAAATGGGGCTAAGTTGGCGCAGCATGGGCTACATAAGAGATGGACCCGTGCGATACAGAAGGACGTAAAGCTGATTTGGATTGTTGAAGACCCAGCGGTGTCGAGATTGGCCTCTGTGGAGGAGGCTCGTGAAGGACGCTACTGCGCAGTTGGAGGCAGACGCCCTCCAACAACCAGAAGACGGTGGAGGAACGACGCTCGCAAAAGCAAGCGGAGTGCTGGGCGGATAAAATGTAGCAAGTTGGTACAGTAGGGGGCACAGGTGGTGCATCAGCCGGCCATCTCAGTCAACCTATGTCACCTGGGTCCCATTAACTGCTAGTGAGCCTTTGACACTTCACCTGGCCTCAAAGTGTATCTAGCCTGACACAAATGTTTTGGCGAAATGGCGGATTTTCCATACATATTTTTCCATGTGTACGTCCGTGTGTACACATCTACGGCTCTCTGCGTGGACGTACAGCCGTGTGTGTGTGTACATCATACGTGTACCGTACAATCTGCGTCTCCCCCCCCCCCCCTCGTGCGGTGTCAGTGAGCCAGGATTTCCTCTGGAAATGGGGCTGCTGTCGCGCGTGGCGCTCGGCCTGGTGCGTGGCGCCGACCGCACCTCACCGTTTACGAGCAAACGCGGCCCGCGAGACTTCTACAAGGGCCGCGGGGCACGCATCGCCGGGCGTCACACGCCCTCGGGGAAGTTCGTGCCGGTGCGGGAGATGATCCCGGAGCTGGTCGTGCCGGACTTGACCGGCTTCACGCTGCGGCCGTACGTTTCGTACCGGGCGCCCCCCGGCTCGACGGCACCACCCACTGCACAGAGCCTCTTCGATGCCGTGGTGGCGCCCGACATGGAGCGCGACATCAAGGCCGGAGCCTTCGACCCGGACGCGCTCGAGAAGTACGGGTTTGAGCCATCGCAGAGCGGGAAACTTTTCCAACTCTACCCTAAGAACTTCCCGCGGTGATCTCCCTCCCCGCCTGCCCTGCCCGCGGTTCTCCTTGGTTCCTGCGAAATGAATAAACAAAACGTTTGTCTCCAGTTTAAATTGTCGGTCTTTTATTTTCCATTAACATTACCTTTTCAAATTTTCTTGCTGTGGTTTTCACACCTGATGATGATTGCTTGTGTTGCAGTCGAAACGTCGTGAGAATTTTATTGTTTTATATTTTTATTATTTTATTGTTTCCCTTCTATGTGACTTTACCGAAAGAACCAAGAGTATGAATCCCTGCAGTCACGAAAGCTTTAAATCAAAATTGCTGTGTGCATCAGAGAACTGGATCCTAACCAAGCATTACAGAGAGGTTGCTTCACCTGAGCACCGGTGTTGTGAGACAGAACGCTGAGTATTTGGGAATGTTGTAGCGAGGCAGGAGAAGCGATGCAGAGGTCCAGAAGAAACGCGAAGCAGGAGGTCAACGTTACAGATGTGATCGAGCAGAAGCGGGTACACTGGGTGTGGGCACGTGCAAGGTGGGGGGGCCTAATAAATTTGGTTTGCTGTCATATCTCAAGTTTTGGTGAGATTTGCTCTGCTACATGCTGACCAGGCGTGTGTGTGAAGAGTCCAATCGACTGTGGTTATGAACCCATTTATGCTGCTGGTTGGATAGAAGCCGTGAAGGGCGATTTGATAAACATGCAGCTCCACTTGAACTGCCTTGCCAGGAGATAGAATTGAACCAAATCGGAGGGTACTGCCCATTACACCATCAATGTGACAGATGCCTTTTCTCAAGGTTTAAAATTTGAAGTTAATTTTGTATAAAGAGGTGAGAACTCAAGAGGGGTGCTGTGGTGGAGATATGGTAACTACCTCTCGTGGTATACAGGAGATCGTGGATTCAATTCAAACCGTTGTATATGTGGAGTTTGCATGTCTCTCGCATGGATTTTTCTCCAGGTCCCCCAGTTTTTCTTTCACATTTATAATCAACATCACGCGTTTAGAGTATTTGGCCGCAATACATTTCAACATGATAAGCCACTTTGTTGAGCGATCATTTGTGACCAGGTCGCTTCTGAAAAATGGCTACATCGCTCATTGGGCCTTCCCTGGTAAAACAAAAAATACAGATTACACCACTGAAACCAAATATACATTGGAACAAAAAAAACAGTCGCCCTCCAACAACAGCGGAGGGCAGAGGAGCAACGCTCAAAACAACGAGTTGGAGCACCGGGTGGCTAAAACGCGGCAAGTTGGCACAGTAGGAGGCACAGCTGGTGCATCTGCCAATCATCTCAGTAAACCCATGGCACCTGGGTCTACCCCCATGACATGTCAGCGAGCTTTCGACGCTTCACGTTGGCCTCGAGGAGTACCTAGCCTGGCACAAGCGTCGCGGTGACGTTTCGCTACTTGGTGACGACCGCCTGCTAGCTGCTGGTCCCGGGCTGCGTTTTGGCGCTGCTTGGAGGTGGCCGCGACACCAGCCAGGAGGCGATGGGGAGCCACCAGGCTGGAGTCTACCAGGCAGGCAGCAGGGGGCTATCCGTGCGGATCGGGCCGCTTGTGAGAGTCCGTGGTGAAAGGGACACTCACCCTGTCTGGTAGGATGGGGATGGTTTCGTTTAATATTTGTGTTTTTTTTGGCCTGTGCACTTCTGCAGTGTGTTTGCGTTGATCGTTGTAACGTTCTTACCCCGTGCCCCTACTGGACATCTGTGGAAAAAAAAGCTTTATAGCGCATCGGATGCCTCCGGTATTAAAACATATTCTGAATCGGATTCACTTGTTTTCCAGATCGGTGAATGGGTGCTGTATGCAGCACACCGAGCGTTAACTTTGACCCTGACCCGTGTGTGGAGAGTTCAATTTAAATGTGGCAGCTGTACTGAGGGACGAACTGCGCCGTGTCTTGGTGTGGTCATCAACTCTGTTATTTTTCTGCCTTCCCCAAGCTGTTCTCTCTGTTGCACTCCTATTGTGTTTGTGTTGTTGTGACTCGCTTGACCTCCTACCCCTACTCACAGCTCATCGGATTCCCTCCCCGAAGCATCGGCACGCAGTCTCATTCTGAATTGCAAAATTCTAAGATTGAGCGCATGACGTCATGTCAATATGACGTCACGCAAGCGATGTCTCGCTTTTACCCGAGGTGGACGTCATCGCCAGATGTTCTCGTCCACCCAAGAAAACAACGGGCTATTACGTCATTTCGCGCTGTCCTGCTTTGCCAAATTCAAGTTGCAAGAAGGAGAGGGCGTAACGTCATGTCCGCGGAGAGGTCACTCGTGACGTAGTGCCGGGCCCCGCAACGCTCGGGGAGAGGATAGGGCGGCTGAGAGACCGGGAGAGCGTGGGGAGAGCGGGGAGCGCGAGAGAGAGGGAGCGGGGAGCGTGCGGGGAGCGCGAGAGAGAGCGGTGAGCGCGAGAGAGAGAGGGAGCGGTGAGCGCGAGAGAGGGAGTGCGAGAGAGAGTGCGGGGAGCGCGAGAGAGAGAGCCGGGGAGCGCGAGAGAGAGAGCGGGGAGAGAGCAGCAGGTAGAGAGAGGGAGACGCGGCGCTGGGTGTGTGCGGCCCAGGGGCTCTGCTCTGCGCGACTGACGACGGCGGAGGGAAACAAAGACGGAGGCGAGGAGAGAGACGCAGTGAGGGAGAGACGGGGAGAGGAGACCACGGTGCTGGGTTGCGAGTCGCCTGGGAGACGCTTCCACAACAGTCGGCGACCCTCGCTCGCGCCACCAGTGCCTGGTGCGCTGACTGACTGCCATGACTGTACCATGACTGTACCATGAGTCTCTGTACCATTACTCTGTCTAATACCATGTCTCTCTCTAATACCATGTCTCTCACTCTCTGTACCATGACAATGTATCACCACTATGTGTACAAATACTTTCTCTGTACCATGACAATGTATCACCACTGTAACATGGTAATGTACCACCACTCTCTCTGTACCATGTCTCTCTACCATGACTCCGTACCATGAGTGTACCGTGATTCTGTACCTTGACAATGTACCATGTCTCTGTACCAAGACTCTCCTTTTAACTTCACTGCCAGGTCTCGGTGCCTCTCAGGACTGCGACCGTGTGTGTGTGTGTCTCGTCTCTATGCATCGTGACTGTGGCCCTCCTTGTGGGTTTGCTCTTGGCCTAGGGGAGAAGTGAGGAGTAGGTTGGCCCCCCGCCATGAACCTGTCCAAGATCGTGGAGAACGTGAAGATGGGCCGCGAGTTTGCGCTCTTGGGCCTGTACGACGCGGCGCTCGTGTACTACCAGGGCGTCCTGCAGGAGATCCAGCACTACATCGCCTCGCTCAAGGAGCCGCTACGGCGCCAGCGCTGGCAGGAGGTGACCTCGGCGAAATGAATCCCCACCGTCGTTTGAAATTCGTAGGAATCGCGAGCCAATGACACCGACGGCATTAAAAACCCCGTGACCATTGCCGATGACGGACGCACGTACGTGCACGTCATCGGGTTTTTCTTCCGATTCCGTTCCAACGACATACACGTACGTCACGTCGTCATAGGAAGGGAATCGGAAGAAAAAGGACATTCGAGAAGGTGTATGGCACAGTTTGGCGCCAGCTATCGTAAGAGTGTGGTCGTATCGCTACAGTTTTCAGCGGTGAGTGTGATGTCTTTAAAAACAGCGGCCCTACGCCTCTCTGAATAAAATTAACATTGAACCGCGGTGCACGGGGCATTGACCCTGCCTGGTAGGATAGGGATGGTTTAGTTTTATATTTCTATGTTTTTGGGTGATTTGTTTACCTTTCTTGTACTTTGCACTTCTGTCGGGTTTTTGTGTTGTTTGTTGTTGTAACGCTCTTACCCGCCCCTACTCGACATCTGTGAAAAGGAGCTTTATAACCCATCGTATTCCTCCTGCAATCTAAATAAATATTCTGAACTTGCGGTCATCTCGGAACGGGAAGAGGGTTATGCAGGTGGAGCATTTGAACTTCAGTATTTAGGTAGTATGGTAACTGGAGATGGAAGGTGCATCGCAGACATAAACAGAAGAATAGCATTGGCAAAAGATAAATTGCAGAATATGGGACCTATATTGAAGAATAAGAAATTGTTAATGACAACAAGAATTATAATACTGCAGCGTTGCATATGCTGGTCTGTATGGATGTGAAAGCTGGACCATTACAACAGGCCCTGCAGAGCGAACTGGAAGCGACAGAGATTTGGTTTTCAAGGAGGATGTTAAACATTTCACGGACAGACAAAACGAGTGACGTAAATGTAGTTTGGATAACGTCAGGTTACATAACAAGAAAATGTTTAAGAACAATCATAGAAATTTAATAGTTAGATTTCTTGGACTTGTAATGAGAAAACAGGGTACTGAATATAAACGTGGTTTTAACTGGGAAAATTATAGGTACCACAAGAAGCCAGGAAAGAGCGAATTATGTTACAAAATCAATTTGAACAACTGAGTAGCAAGCGCGAACTTCTCGAGTGAATATTGTGGACAGAGCTGCTAAGTGGAAGGAGGCCACGACCACCAGACGTCTTCGAGAAAGGACGTGGCCCGTAGAGGGAGGAGCGAGATGCAAATGCGACATTCGAGCTCGTTGAAAAAACGAGACAGGACGGACTAGAAACAGCGTGGGTGTGCTGTGAACCCATTCGGTCGAATCGCAACACTGAATTCACGAGGATTGACGTAACTGCCGGTGTTGACGGACGCAACGGGTCACCGCTGCGTACCTCATAGAGAGAGAGCGCCGGCGGTCGGGCTGCTGTTTAGCGAGTGACTAACATCGTTTGTCATGCGTGCCGCAGGTGAGGGCAGAAATGGTGCAGGAGTACGAGCAGGTGAAGGATATCGTCAAGACTCTCGCCAGCTTCAAGATCGACAGCTTCCCGCTGCAGGTTTACGAGGAGCCCACCCGAGACCCTGACGTGTGGCCGGCCCCAACACCCGCCGAGAACAGGTGACCGCAGGGGCAAGGTCATTTATAATACATTTTTAGTATGGTTATCACGCTTCTTTACCCAGGAAAGCCTGTATATTTGTAGTTTGTATGTTATCCCCGTGGTCACGTGGGGAGAACATCCAAAGTTCA